CAAATAGATTCAGAATCTTGATAACCTCATAACCTTCGCTAAAACATTTTAGGAACTGAGCTCACCAAATAATAATTATACCAAATAATAATTAAGTGAAAGATCATACATTATTTTAATATTAATAGTGTAGCTTATTTTTTTTTCTATAAAGCTTATGTCACATAGCACTTATTAAGTGTTAATTAAAATAGTACTAGTAAATTAAAGTTTTGGTATTTGTGGTATACACGAATCTATTGGAAATTTAATATCATTGATACTCATGGTTGGCAAAACCAACAACTTTGGTCCCTATCCTAATTACCATCAAGTGGTGATTTGGTAAGGCATGTGGAAGATATGGTGGATAACCTATTGACACATGTTCAAATCCTGACACCACTTAGCCCTTGTGGCTATGGAGGTTCGCCTGCAGTGACTCCAGGGCATGAGACAAAGCCTCATGTTTGCAGCGGGGGATTAGTCGGTGCGCGAAAGCTGGCCCGGAAACCCTCGTTAGGGAAGTTCCCTTTCCAAAAAAATTACCATCAATTCTATTATGTTATACTTATGAAACGACTAAAATGCTTTTTTTTTTAAATTTGGTATTTTCATGTTTCTTAGAATTATTATACTACCACCAGCACCGGTTGCACAGCTCCAAATGTCATCGTTGCTAAGCTGCCAATTAACGCTTGTTTCTATTCTGACGAGTTTAAAGCAAAGAGTCGGGAAAATGAAGGCGGTATAGCGATTGTGGATCATTGAAAGGCATCATTAAATCAAACATTGTTGTGCTTGATTTTGAAGTGCTTAACCTCGAAGCGTTGCTTTTTGCCACCACTGTATTGTATTTGTCGTTGATGTCTTCACCATTGATTTATGGTTCCAAGTTCCAACGTCGGGAGAGACAAAGGCATAGTGTATTCGATGGGGTTGTACATCTTTTAGGAAGTTTTCAAATGGTATAGACCTTGTCCCTTAAGTTTAATAAAAACTAGGCGAATCACCGCGCGTTGCACGAAAATATAATTATATAGTTAAAATAATAACTTTTTCCAAATTATTATTTAATATTTCTACTTTGAAACAAAATTTTAGTAGTAAAGCAAACATATAGTTAACATATTAGTTTTATTAAACATTATAGTTTAATTTTTAAGTCATT